GCGGCGGGGGTGCGCCGGGCTGGCGCCCGACCCCAGCTACCGTCCCGCGGGCCGCGCGCCCCCCGACTCACAGCCGGGAGACTCCCAGGCTCCACCGAGGTGAGTGAGGCTCGTAGAGAGGACGCAGCTCCAGCCCCACCCCGCCAGGGAGTCGCGACGCGGCCTCTGGCCTTCGGGGCCGAGGTTTCTCAACCCTGTAAACGGCTCCCGGACCAGCGGGTGGGACTTAGACGTGAGAGAGGACGTGGCTGCGGCTGGATGGAGAGCCGGGCCTTTGCCTGGGACCCGGGGAGCAAGAGCGTCCGGTCTTTTAGGAGGCATGACTTTGCTCGCTGATTTTCCTGTTTATATTTAAAGTCTGTTTACTGAGAGCTGAACAAGCGGGGTCCACGGATACCCACAGGGACCTTTTCGTTCTGAGCATCCTTGAGCTAAGTGCAATTGAATGTCCATAGGCCTACGGGACTTAGAGCCTCAGGGCATAGGCCCTCGATGTATTCAATTTAGCGACCTTAATTTCGTCCTCTGATTTGCAAAGATTGGTGTTGTCATCTTTTTCCTTGACTTTGCCCACCTTCTGGTGTTTACAAACTGTAATGGACGAATTCACGGGCAAGACCAGAATGTTTGTTCATAGGCGTTCTTACCTGTGCAGAAAAATAGTTGCTTTAAACATTTAACTTCATATGTAATGCGTTTTTGCTCTTATTAATGGTTCCTTTATTTTGCCAGTTCAAAAATGTCCAAAAATGACAAAGAACCGTTTTTTGTGAAGTTTTTAAAGTCGTCAGACAATTCCGAATGTTTTTTTAAAGCTCTTGAGGTAAGAATTCTTGAAAACGTCTTGTTTGATGCTGTGAATTTTCTTGTTTTGGTGCTCTTGATTTATTTGGCCTTATATGTCTTACTCAGTTATTTAATTTTCTTAATAGTTTTACTGTAGTCTACATTAGGAGAGATATCATTGTTACACATTTTTAAATTGACATATTATGTATTGGCAGAGGCTTGCAATCTTAATGGCATTTCTATTGAAAGTGGTGGACCAGCTGTTCTTGGAAATAAAGTTGTTTTGTCTATTACCCATAGACCTTTGTGTGTTGAAAAATTTGAGTTGGTCCTGTATTGGTTACCCTTCATTATTTTTGTTAATTGTTTAAAGTTTCATTATGTACAGTGTATTATGGGAGAATATAGGGGTAGCGTAGAGCCTTGCTACGCACAGACCCCAGCAGCATCACCATGGCCTGAAAGTTGGGTCCCAGCTCAGAATTACCAATTAGAATCTGCTTTTTTACAAGATCCTTTGCACATTAAAGTTTAAGAAACACTGTTGTAGCAGGTTTTTCTTTGAAGGTTCATTCCTTCAGTAAATAATCATCTGATAAGCAGTATTCTAGTACTTGGGATACATCAGTGATCAGAGCAGGCAAAGATCTATACTTTCTTAGAACTTACATTCTGTTCTAGCAGGAAGAAATAGGCATTAATCAGACATGTAAATGAGTAAACTGTATAGTATGTTAAAAGTGCTAAGTGCTGTGGGAAGAGAAAAGCAAAACAGGTTAAAGGAGAGTATTTTAGATAGAGAAGGGAAAGTTACAATTTATTTTAAGTAGAATGTGATCAGGGTAGACTTTATGGAGAAGACAATATTTGAGTACTCTTGGAGCAGGTGAGATAATGAGCAATGCAGATATCTAGGGAAGGTTTCAGACAGAGGGGACAATCATACACAGGCCCCCCAGGAAAGTGCTTACATTGTCTATCCAACACGAGTGTGGCTGTGGTGTAGTGAGCAAGGGATGGAGGAAGAAGGTTAAGGTGTGCTTAAGAGAGGAGAGTAGAGAGGTTATGTGGGCCTTGTGGGCCATTGTAAGGACTTCAGCTTTTTCTTCCAGTGAGATGATGAGCCAGTGGAGGGTTTTAATCAGAGGAGTAACGTGATCTGAGTTAGTGGTTTTGAAAGGATCACTAAGTATTTAACATAGGACTTCCAACATTTGCTCAGAAAATATTTGAGTGCTTACTGGGAGCCAGGATATGTTGGCAAACAAGATAGATCATGAAACTTTCATTCTTATAAGGGAGAGAGACAAAAACTATAGCTATATGTAATATCAATGTTATTTTTCTTCATAAAATACATTAGAGGGATAGAGAAAAAGTATTTTAGAAAGTATGATCAGGAAAGGCATCTCTGAGGAGGTGACATTGAGCAGATCTGATTGAAGTGAGAGATCAAGTCAGGGGAAGTCCTGGGAGAAGAGTGTTCCAGGCAGCAGGAACAAGACAAAGCATCTAATTGAGATCATGTTTAGCTTGTTCAGGCCTAGCAAGAAAACAGGAGTGGCTAGAGGAGAGTGAGCCAAAGGGATGAGAGGTAGAAGGTAAGTGCTGGAGATAGGCAGGGGCCAGACCCTGTGGTCTTGTAGGCCACTGTAAGAAATTTGGATTTTATTCTGAGTGGTCAAAAGCTATGGGAGGTTTTGAGCAGAGTGGCATGGCCTGATTTGTATTGTTGAAAAGATTAACTCTGTGTAGAGAACAGAGTTAGGACAAGGGAGGGAGAAGGAACCACTTTGGAGATTTTTGCAGAGGTCTAGTGAGAGATGACAGTTGCTTTCAATAGGATAAGGGCTGGATTTGAGATGGACTTTGAAGATGGAGTTCATAGGACATAAATACAGGTAAATAATTTTAGATGCATTATTTCATTTTTTCTTTCAGTCAATAAAAGAGTTCCAGTCAGAAGAATATCTTCAGATTATTACAGAAGAAGAGGCATTGAAGATAAAGGAGAATGATAGATCACTTTATATCTGTGACCCTTTTAGTGGCATTGTCTTTGATCATCTCAGAAAGGTTTGCTCACTTTAGTATATTCCTTCGGTGGCCTGTTTTTCTGGTGTTTTTGTTTCAGTGAACATAAGTTCTTTACTGATCATGAAATATTTTGCAAATTATGAATATAGGAAATCTTTTGGTTTTGGAAGCCCAGAATAGTATTTTTAAAGGTTAATCATATTACAATAGTCTTTGGTTAATATGCAGTTTTTATATTTCAGGGAATTTAGCTTCATTGAGTATAAGTTAACCTGATAGTAATGAAGCATTTTATTGATAAAGTTCTATTGTACTTACATTCAGTTTGATTACAAGAAATATAAAGGAAAAATAATAAAGAGTAGGAAAAGACTTCAACATAATGCTTGGTTACTTACTGTCTTACCTATGTGCACTTGAATTTTAGTACCTGTACCTTGTATAGGGTCTAAAAAATCATATGCTAAAAGGAATCATTTTAGGGATGAGCATTGCTAATATACCAATGAGCCATCTTATTTCTTTCTGTTGATTCTAGAGTCTACTGACTCATTACTTTTTTGGTGTCTGGACAAGAGAGAAGCATTGAAATAAAAGTAAACTGGCTGTAATTCCATCCAGATTACAAAGAAGTGATTCTTGTTTGAAGGAGAAGAAAACGTAGAAGAGTAGGTAGATGCAGTACTGTCTGTGCAGTATACAGAAGGTCTGTGCCCACCTTTGCCAGAAGCATTGCTGGTCTCACCCTCCTTTTGCAAATAACACTGGCTTGTCAGATAGAATCAGTAGCATCAAAATCTCACTTTTCTTATGACTGACCAAAAAGATAGCAACAGTCACTTCCCCTGTAGATTTTTAAATTAGTCATGCTTTGGTGACTTTGGCAACTGTAGGCTTTTAGTCTGGCTTGGATATGCTGATGTCAAGCAAGACTGTCACCTTTCTCAATTATCAGTGAAAATGAAAGGTCATTTTCTGAGTAACCTGCAGTATCTTAGGAGAAGTCATTGTGGGTCTTCCTTGGGAAGACATTAAGTTGTGGACAAAATATTTTTTTTTAATGTAGAAAATGCCTAGGATTATACTTTTTTTGGTAATACAATAGGTATTTTAGAGGAGGATTATTTGGGCTGTTATAATTTTAAACTGCTTCATTGGCTGGGTGCTTCATTTGAAAAGTAAATGTAGGGATTTCCTAATTATTACAGCATAAATTTATTACTCATATCACCTGTCATTAAAATTGTGTTTGTTTCAGAGATTTAATGGCAGTTTAATGCCAGTTTTAAGTCAGTGTGGCTTTTAGAGCTTATTTCTTTGGATAGCCTACATTGTTTGATTTGCTTGGGTGTGTATGTTAACATGTGGTATGTGTGAGGAATTATATAATGGTCTTCATTTTTGTTTTTCTTGTTACAATTTCGTGGTTTTTTCCCCATGATCATTAACCTCTATAAAAAATTGGTAAATATTACAAAACATAATTTTATAAGACTGGAGGGCTTTTCCTACTTATTTAAACTTTTTCTTTTTTGTAGCTTGGCTGCAGAATTGTCGGTCCTCAAGTAGTCATATTTTGTATGCACCACCAGCGATGTGTCCCAAGAGCTGAGCATCCAGTTTATAATATGGTTATGTCTGATGTAACCATATCTTGTACAAGCTTGGAAAAAGACAAAAGGGTAGGTGTTGAGAGGAATGTCATGATCTCTCTCTCTCTCTTCATATATATTTTCGCACACTTAATTTTTCTCTGTGCAGGGGCTAC